AAACTCAGAACTGGCGCATTCAGAAAGAATACACTCCCTTGATGTAGTTAGAGGGGTGAAATCGTGGAAACGACCGGCTGACCCCTTTTAGTCTTTGGAATCGCGGGACTTATCCTCCCATTTCTTCTCTCCCCGACTTTGATGTCAGGCAGGCTGAGAGGGTGTTCGTCGATCATCCTGGGCCAGCGCTGGTTCGGGAGGGCAAATGGCTGACATTGCCCGACAGGTAGGGGCGATTCGGGTCATGGTCGTGTGGGCCATACCAAAGGAAATGTCTTAGACTGAGCTCAGTCAAGCTGTTGGGCCAGTCTAATCCATATTCATTCAATCCGTCCATTTTAACAATCCATCTATTTTACCATCCCTAACTATTAGTCATCCTCATCAATCATAAACTATAAACTATTAAGTAACAAATTATAAACTATTAAGTAACTTATCACTCAGCTACCTTTTTTTACCAAATAGAACTTAAATATTCATTTGATAATATAATCTTCTAAGACTCAATAATCAATCCTACTCAAGATGGTCAATTCAATCCTTCTTCGTTTAAAGTTAGGCCAACTAATACTAAGATGCTAACTTTTTAAATATACAAGTAGTATGTTATTAAAATTACTATAACTTTGCCTTTTTTTAATAGGAATTTTACAATACAAAGTTATTCATTAAATTATTAGAATTAATTTTGTCTAATCTTTTTTTTCAAGCTAATTAATTTTTTTTAAAAACATTTAGGTCAAACTATACTTAACTTAGACAACTTTTTTTTTCCTTAACAATCTGACTTTTAAGAAAAACTAACACTCATTATGTCAATGATTCATATATTTTTTTAAGATTCAAATTCTTTAAAATAATTGGTACGTTATTGAAACTCATCAACACTAATCTAACCATTTGACTGATTTTAACCACCTTAACTGATTATTAGTTATACAGTTAATTAGTTAGGTTGTTTGTCCTACTGGTTACTATATCATACATGAAGTGCATATTAACTTAGAGTGTTTCTCACTTATTGTATAAATAATACAATGTAACCTTATTCCATATATGAGAAATTTATTCCTTTTTCTTCTCTTCTATGTTTTCTCATTGTTTAGTTTTCATCTCATAATATGGTATTATCGCAATACACCTAATTTCTCATCATCTTCTTCTTCCTTTTTCTGCACAATTTGCTTTCTTCTCTCTTAGATCTGATCACCATGCCTTCGCGTCTTCAACCTCTAGTTCACCCTTCTAATGGTGACGTTGATTCCGCTTACTACATTCACCCTAGTGAAGATCCTAATTCCATTAAAATCACTCCACCCCCCAATGGTTCCAACTACCTTTCATGGTCTTGCTCCATGCAACATGCACTCGGCGCCAAGAATAAATTATCATTCATCGATGGTTCGATTGAAGTTCATGATTCTAATGATCTGAATCGCGCAACATGGGAATGTTGTAACTATCTGATTCATTCTTGGTTTCTCAATTCCGTTTCTGAACCGATTACACAAACCATTGTTTTCTTGGAAAATGCTCTCGATGTCTGGCTCGATCTCAAAGAAAAATTCACAAAAGCTGATAGAGTTCACGTTGCAAATCTTTATACTGAACTCAATAACATGAAACAAGGTGAAAAATCCATTCTTGATTACTATACTGCCATGTGTGGTTTGTGGGAAGAGTTGAATTCTCATCGTCCTTTACATGCATGCACGTGCATCCAACAATGCAGATATGAAGCTATGTGATCCGCTATATTTTTTTGTATCGAGGATCAAATCATTCAATTTCTCATAGGTTTGATTCCTTTTCTGTTATAAAGTCTCAAGTTCTTATTATGGAACCTTTACCTTCTATCAATCGCATTTATTCCATGGTTATTCAAGAAGAAACATAGATCTACTTCCCGAACCTGATAATAGTACATCACTTGATGAATCTAATGCATTGATTAATGCATATGACTCAAGAAAATTTCATGATCATAACAAGAATTCTACAAATTCTGGTTATAAGAAAGATCTTCAAGTTTGTACGCATTGTAATCGCACTAGACATACTGTGGAGGTGTGCTATAGAAAACACGGATTTCCTCCTCACTATGGCAAGAAGAATGCTTCAGCCAATTCATTTAGCTCTACTGGTGCAGAAGATTCCCAACAAACTACTACTGATGGTGATAGTTCATCAACTGCTCAAGCCAGTATTACTCAAGAACAGATTTCTCAGTTGATCATTTTATTACAACATTCAAATTTAATGCCTCATAAAACTTCCCCTAATCATGCATCTAGTTCAAACCAACTTTCTACTCATACTGATCTTAAACCATATAATACATAAGGTATAACTTATATATCAAACTTTACTTGTTCTAGCTATTCTAATTCCAATTTTTGGCTTTTCGATTTAGGAGCAAATGGTCATGTATGTTCCTCTTTACATCTCTTTCATTCTTACTCTAAAATCACACCTATTAATGTTTGTTTACCAAATGGATCTTATGTGTTAGCAAAACATGTTGGCACTGTTATTTTCTCCCCACAGCTTTATATCGCTAATGTTTTATACATTCCTGAATTCTCCCTTGAACTTGATCTCAGTATCCAAACTGTGCAAAACACTTAATTGTACATTGCACTTTTTTGACCATAAATGCATTATGCGGGACCTGAAATCACAGAAGATGATTGGTTTGGCTAGTGAAACAAATGGCTTATACAAACTCTTGCCTGATGGCGATGCTCATTCCAACCCACCAGTCACAACCCTTGCACATTCAGCCATTCCACACACTAGAATAAACAAAGTGTCTACTATATCTTTACAAGCTCTTTGGCATTTCAGACTTGGCCATTTATCTCATGCTCGATTATGTAAAATGTCCCAATTATATTCCAATATAACTCATGATAATAAAGTTGTGTGTGATATATGTCACTTTGCTAGACAAATAAAGTTGCCTTACCAAATATTTCTTCTAGAGCTACTTTTCCTTTTGAATTAATCCACTTTGACATATGGGAACCCCTAGCTATTACATCTATCTATGGACATAGATACTTCCCCACTGTACTTGATGATTTTACTCAATACACGTGGATTATTCTCCTCAAATATAAAAGCTGAAGTATCTCAGCATGTTCAACGTTTCATTTCCCTAGTTGAAAACCATTTCAAAACTTGCCCTAAGCATATTAGAACCAACAATGGACCTGAGTTCTTAATGCCACACTTTTACATGACAAAAGGCATTGTCCATCAAAGATCATGCGTTGAGTCACCCCAACAAAACAGGAGAGTTGAAAGAAAACACCAACTTCTCCTTAATGTAGGCAGAGCCCTATTATTTCAATCCAAACTTCCCAAACAATTTTGGTCCTGTGTTGTATCTTATGCCACATACATCATCAATAGAACCAATATTCCACTTTTAAATCACCAATCTCCCTATCAAATATTACATCAATCCCTTCCTGACATTAACCAAATTAAAGTGTTTGGTTCCCTCTGTTATGCTTCCACATAACAAAATCATAGAATCAAGCTTTCTTGCAGAGCAAGGAAATCTTTATTCTTAGGCTACCAACTAGGTTTCAAAAGCTTTGTTCTATTAGATCTCAACACTAATGAAATCTTTATTTCCATAAATATTACATTTTATGAACATATTCTTATCACAATTCTTCCATAGATGCTCCACTAAAATGAGAATATTTTTCTGACCACTCCTCTCCCACACAAAACCCTGACCCTATCAATTTCATTCTCTCGCATAACACTGATACTATCACACCTCCCAACTTTACTAATCAACCTGTTTCTCATAGCTCTGAGAATTCTCCCTTCACCAATACTATCTCCCCACCTGACCACACTATTACCAATCCTCCTCTCAGAGTTTCTTCTCGTACCTGACATCCACCATCACATCGGCAAGATTATGTATGTGCCTCCTTCCATGATGATCCTCACTAATTGTTAGTTATCCAGTCAGTTAGTTAGGTTGTTTGCCCTACAGACTACTATACCATACATGCAATGCATATTAGCTTAGAGTGTTTCTCACTTCTTGTATAAATAATACAATGTAACCTCACTCCATGTATGAGAGATTGATTCCCTTTTCTTCTCTTTTGTGTTTTCTAATTGCTTAGTTTTCATCTCATTATAACTGAAACTACTTTTAAATAAAATGTTATTAAAATGTGCATTCCCTATTTATTTTTATCAGATTGTTTTAGCATATAATTTATATTGAAACTTTGTAACAATAGTTTTTTTAATATAAGCTTACAACCTTTTTTTCATACAATGAAACTGATGTTTTTAATCAATGAACCAAAAGTGTAACATGCCAACATGTGAATTGAATGACGGGGGTTTTGGAAAACTTCTAACATCCTTACAATTTTGGTTTCATTATAGTTTTAAAAAACCAAACAAAGAAAATATTAACTATTTTAAGCTATATATACCCTATTTCATCATTAACAATCCATCAACAACTTATTAGAATTATTCTTAATCATATATCTCCAAAAAAATTGAACCATGGCTTCACTTATCTCCTTTAGACTATCACCAATAGTAGTTGCTTGTTTTCTTTTGTTAGTTAAATCTGGACTTTCAACGATTGTTCAAGAAACAAATGATTCTCATGCTACAAATGATTATGCACAAAGACCATTAACATCTTATGAAGGCTATTTAAGTGATTGTTCATCAAATTTGTACCAACAATGTGGTAAAGATATATATTTTAGTATATTTGTTGGTAATCAAACAACTAGCGATGGATGTTGTTATGGCCTTGTTTATTCTGTGGGAAAACAATGCCATGAAGACATGACAAGATATATTTTGGCATCATCACCAGATTTCAAGTACACCAAAATTTTAATTTGGCAAAGAAGTGAGAAAGTTTGGAATGATTGTGTTTCTTTTTTAACAAATTATTCTCCTGTAGGATCAATAGAACTTAAGAACTTGTAAACTTATATCATCAAATAATCCATTTGTTGGGACTGAAAATGCACTGCAATGAAATATGGTTTACCATTAGATTGTGCTGAATTTTTGTAACATAATAATAATAATAAAGATTTTCAATACTTAGTCCTTGAATTGTTCGACCTTTTATCTCTAAGCTAGTTACAGCATAAACATGTACATATTTTTTTTGCAAGTCTTGTAAATATACTTCTATGCGGAGTTGGTGATGGATTAGTTTTCATGATACCTGATGACCGCGCCTTCACTTCTGGCGACGGATTGGTTTTAACGTTAGTTGATGCCTCGACTGTAACATTAGGTGATGGTTGCATGTACCTTTCAGGTGACGGTTGCACGTCCATTTCGGCTAATGGCTCCATTTCCATGTTAGTTGGTAATTCAACTTCCATAGGAACTGATTGTTCAATTTCCATAGTAATTGATGCCTCCACTTTGATGTTAGGTGATAGTTGCACATCCACAACAGGCGAGGGTTGCATATCCACTACAGGCAACGGCTGCACGCTCACTTCCTCCGATGGCTTCACTTCGATGTTAGTTGATACCTCGACTGTCACATTCGGTGATGGTTGCATGTTCACTTCAGATGATGGCTGCACGTCCATTTCGGCTAATGACTCCGTTTCCATGTTAGTTGATAACTCAACTTCCATAGTAATTGATTGTTCAAGTTCCATAGTAATTGATGCCTCTACTCTTGCATTAGGTGATGGTTGCACGTCCACTACTGGTGACGGCTGCACATTCACTTCCTCTGATGGCTTCACTTCCATGTTAGTTGATGGCTCAACTTCCATAATAATTGATTGTTCAAATTCCATAGTGATTGACTTATCATAAAATAAATAGACAACTGTCTCTTTAACAATCAACCCATGCCCAAAAGCTACAAAAATCTCCACATCGTCACCAGGTCCTAGATTTGATGCTACGTTCTTCCAATCTTCATCATTAAAGGACATTACCGTGTCACGCTTGTGTATCTGAATGGTGCACTTTGTGTAATTAATGATCAAGACACTAGTAAGACATTCAGCTCCAATGTTTTCTGAGGTTGATGAATAAATAACACATAAGATTATTCCCTTCACGTGACAATCAATATCGTCAGGAACTTGAAATTGTGCCGAGGGTCCTTCGCCTGTAAAGGCCAACCAAGAAGGATAATTGCCACCTGGAAGGAAAAAATCCCTCGAATCATCGGTTAATCCCTGTATCATAAGCATATGATTAATAATTTATGTAATTATGCTATTCAACTGAACATTTAAGTGTCAACTGAAATTCTAAAAGGTGAATATGGTAAAGTAAATAACAGTGTAATGCATAAAGAGAGTATAAACTAGGAAACTAGTTGAGAGAAAACAGCCAATAGTTTTGTAATGCAACAACTTTAAGGTAGAAAAATTTCTGCTTCAATAATAGCTATGTAATACAGACCAAAATGATAAGTTGCTTACTGATATGCAATATGCGTCTTTCTACTTGCAATGGGTTAATAACCATTTTCTCTTGTTGGCTTACTTACCTATAATATAATTGTTAGAAACTCCACTTGGATAAAAAGTTTGATCATCTCTATCTAGAAGAGCCTTCTATGATAACTAAATTAATCAATTTCATGCAAGGGTTTTTTAATCTTAAACTCGAAGCCTCTTTTGTTCCGTTGCCTTCATTTTCTACCGATTCTACCATGCAGCCATATACTTCATTTTCTGCATGAACATCTCCAGACATTTTTGCCTTAGTCATTCCAGCTCAATCACCACCCATTTATTGCATTCTCAAATTTATTTGGGTTTCAATATTTCAAGTGCAGGTATTATTGTTTTATCCTACCTTATACAAACACCAAGGTTTTCCTTGCTTTCAGAAGTTTTAATCACATGTTAATCAACTAAATCATTTCCCGTTTGAGGTATTATTTTCTCACAAATCCTGTATATCAGCTTGGTATACTTCATAGCTTTGTCATAAACTTCCTCTTCTAAAACTTGTGACGTTAATAATATCAAATGAAATATTTTATATCTAAAACAATTCCCTTTACCCGCTTGTAAGACGAGGACTGTCACCACTTACAAACACATGGTCAGGCCTTAGAATTTGGGCAGAATGGTATAGTAACACTCAGCATAAGGTTCTGGGTTCCTACTAATATTTAGAGTAAAGTAACAACATATATTGACAGTTTCAATATTCAATAGTTTTAAAGAATACTCTAGCGATCTATTCTGGTTTGACATAGCAATTGTTAAGAAATGTGGTTGAGCCTAACTCAACCCTATAAAACCGGCTTGTAATGTGAGGATTGCTCCCACTTATAATCTCATGTTCAGACCATATATTTGTCCGATGTGGGACTCTTAACATTGATGTGTAAATGACAAATGCTACAGGTGGCAACTTAAATTTAACATATTATAATATAATAAAGGGTAAAAAGGCTAAGAGGATAGAAAATGAACCTGTGATAAGCTCTTGCCAGGAGTATCTATGACTATGTGGCAACTTCCCATTCCAATCAACAGCGATCTAAAGAAAAGATTTGAAATTTGTGATGCATGTGATGTTTCCAATTCAGAAACATTTACAACATATTGATCAAGAACTCTTTGTAATTCTTGTGTTAGTTGAATCTTCGAGCGGCATTGTACCCAAACAGTTCTGATTTTTGAAAGGCTTATGACCATTGGTGATAGAAGGCCCAAGTTATTATTATGTAAATTGGTGGAAGACAGGGACAATGAAATGTTCCCAAATGGGGAAATGCAGGGTAGAGAATTTATGGTCGGAGACATCCAAGACCAAATGATAGAAGGAAAAACATTACATGATAATCCTTCATATCCACATAGGGATATGTATCCAATGCTTTTCGATCTTATGATTGAACATGGCACCTCTTTTATAGAGGTATCTTTGGCAATCAATGTTGTCAAGGATTCCATCTGCACTATGTCTTCTTCCAACTTGTCAATCTTTGAACAACCAGAAAGGATGAGAGTTTTCACAGATTTCAATTGATAGATCTTCTTTGGGAGATCGCTAAGAGTTGTACAGTCCTTCAAATTTATCAGAAGAAGATTATTGAGATCTCCAATGGATTGGTGTACCTCAGATAAGTTTGGACAATCTTTCATGATGAGCTTTTCTAGATTCGGTGATTTTGAAAAGTCGGGAGTTCTTTTCAAGTACTTGGAATGACTGAGATTGAGAATTTTTAGGTTCCCCAGCAACTGCAAGAAGATAAATGTTTAAATAAAAATTAGATAAAAATGGAGAATGGGATGGTTGCAACAATTACTACTCTTATCACAATTTTGTTTCAAACGAAAATATCATCACCTCGGTTTCATTCCAAACTTGCCTAATTCTACTGTGTTTCAAGTCAATAACAACTAGATTTCCCAGATAAAAGTCATTAGGTATAGAGTTGAAGGTGGATTGTTGCCAATGGATCCATCTGAGCTCTTTAGAAAGATACCCATAATCTCCAGTGAGGTCAACACAATCAATTTGTAGTAGTCTCAGATTCTTCATCTCATTAAAAGAATGAGCATTGAAGCAAACTCTGTTGGTTCTTTGCAACTTCAAAGCCAGTCCTTCTACAGTTTCTGTTCCCTATATGCAAAGAAAATACCAAAGAAAGGTAATTGGAAACGTTTTTCGTTTTTATATACAAAGTGATATATAAAGCTACAACAGTGGACCCAAAGCACACTAGTAAGGAATGACAAGGAAAATACAATTCAACCATGAATTCTACCATTTTCAGCTAATAGTTATCTACAACAAAACAATTCAGAAAAAAAGGAGAATCTTGTGATCTTGATAAGATTATGGAGGATGATTAGAGATCTTACAGTATGTTTTGTTAAAACATCATGTGCATCCACACAAGACCACAATCGACTACGCTTCCCAGGCTCTTTTGCTGAACGTTTGCGAACAATTTCTCTTCCCATATCTCTTATTAAGTCATGCATTGCAAGCTTGTTATTCTTTTCAATTTTGACAAGACTCCGTTCTACGAGGACAGATATTCCAATATCAGCATGAAGCCCGCAACCATTTAGTATCTCAGAAACGTACGCTCTGTCCTTGCCGATGAAGAAACAACATATGTCAAGAAATATATCCTTTTCCATATCATCCTTTAAACCATCATAGCTTATTCTCAATTTCTCTTGCACTTGATCATTGGGAATTGTCTTTAGTTTTGAGAGTACACTTGTCCATTCTTCTTTTGTCCTCTCCCATAAGTAAGAACCAAGGACTTCAAGAGCAACCGGTAATCCTCCACAATAAGCAACTAGTTTCCTCGAGAGTTCAAAAAAGTCTTTGTTTGGACTAGGTTGTCTAAAAGCATGCCAACTGAAAAGCTCAAGGGATTCATTTTTGCCCATTTCCTTCATTGTACACAAAAAATCTACCTTTAATAAATTAAGTAGGCGAACATCTCTGGTTGTAACAATTAACACACTTCCCATACCTAGCAATTTAGGATTTCTACATAGCGATTTTATCTGTTCAAATGTAGTCACATCATCGAGTACAACAAGTGCTTTTTTTCCCCAAAATATTTTCTCTATCTTAGTTGTCCCTAATGCAATGCTGTATATCTTCTCCTTTGTGTTCAAGATATTTGAAAGTAGTTGTTCTTGTAAATGAATAATCCCTCTATTTTCCTTTTCACAGACTTCTCTAACATTTTCAACGAAACTTCTATCAACAAACTTGCGATGAATTCGATTGTAGATAGCTTTAGCTGTGGTTGTTTTACCAGATCCACCCATTCCCCATATCCCTATTATACAGACCTGGCTTGATTCATTTTCAATGAACTCAATTATTTGTTGTACACGGGAATCCAATCCAACTGGGAATTCAGTAATAGACAAGGATGCAATATCTAGTTTTGTCAAAATGTCCTCAACAATTTGTTGCACCAGTTCGGCTTCATTCCTTGGATGGATATTGATAATTATGAAACACAGAGTGAACAAATATTATGAAAATATGATAAAGTAAAAACAATTCATAAAAATAGTCCAAGAAAGTAGAAAGAATTGATTTACCTACCTGCAATTGTTGACATCCCAACCAGATAAATGAGCAGCTTCGGTGAGTGCACTCCTCCACTTGGACAGCATATATTCCATCCTTTCCTCTCCCGAGTCAAGGTATTTTTCTTTTACAGTACGTCTCAAATATATCCCGAAATCACCATTCTGGCGGCGCACTTCTGACGGGTCAACATCATAAAATACAGGGACAACCACCTGACCATGATTTCTGTGGCATTCAATGATCTTTTTCAGCTCATTAAGACACCAACTAGATTCGGCATATCTTTTGGAGAAAACAGCAATAGATATATGAGACCCTTCTATTGCTCGTGATAGTTCTGGTCCCAGCTCAGTTCCCTTAGGAAGATGACGGTCAATATATGCATTGACTCCAGCATTTTTTAAGGCAGCATAGAGATGAGAAATGAAGCCCGGACGAGTGTCTTCTCCTCTAAAATTGAGGAACACGTCGTGTATCCATTTAGGATTCGAAGATGATGAAGAAGACGAATCCATTAGTTAGATTCAAGTGGATGACAAGAATTCAAGTCAAACTAGAGAAGAAGAGGCAAACAAAATTCAAAAGAAAGAGTAACAGATCTCTATGTTACAACTCAGAACACTATTTAACTTAAAATAAATCATCAATTTTTTCTCTTAAGTATCACTCAATCAATATTTTAGCCCCTAACAAGCATTCATTAAATTATATAAAATTGACGGGTTTCATATAACTTAGACACTGCTTATTATATTTATATAGTTTAGGAGATAAGTTCCATTATTGATTATTTAATTTTCAGCATCTCCAACAACCTCAATTATTTAAAAACTCTTCACTGTCTTTTAAATTAAACAATAGTGAAGACCGAAGACTTAGATTACCATGAACCACCTACTCAAAGCCTTTCTTTTTTAATTGTCATGGACTTTGGAACTTTTACGCACAACAAGACAAACAATAAATTTTGTTACTTATGTTCGGTTTGATAATGCCTTTTTTCTTAGCTTACACTTTCTGTCTCTGGTCCCTACTATAAGCAAATTTCAAAATTTCAATTTTGAAATTTATTGAACAACTGATGTATTTGATTTTAAATAAGATCAAACTCATCCGTTATTCAATGAATCTGAACAATGAAATATTTGTTTATAACGTATGAAACACGGACACCGGAAACTAATACGTCGACTTTGACACTGACACGTCGACACCAATAATTTAAAAAAATTGAATAACTTAAGAAGTAATCACAAGTGTATGGACACACCTTTTTCAAAGGTGTCTGTGCTAATAGTTATTGAAGGGAGAATAACTTATAGTTTAAAAGCTCCTATCTTTAAACAAATCCGTTCAGTAACTAACTTTCTCACTAGCTTATTGTTAAAGCTTCTACTATTTTTTACCAAATATAACCTAAATACCTTTTTTTTTCTCTTTCTTTTCTATGATTTCATTCAATCTATTTCATTATGTAGCACAGACACTTCTGAAAAAAAGATACGTTTGTGTCAGTATTGCTGTCCAAAACCGACACTTTTATTACGTTTAATTTATTCATTTTTTCAAATTATTATCGGTGTCGTATTTCCGGTATATCAGCTTCATAGTTTCCTCACTAGCTTATTGTTTTTTCTAAGTAAACTACTTAAGATTATAGCTTCTACTATTTTTGTACCAAACATAACCTAAATACCTTTTTTTTCCTTTGTATGATTTCATTCAATTTATTTCACTATGCATTACAAACTAATTGTGTTAAGTTGAATTTTGAAAACAACATACAATAGAAACAAAAATTTACTTCAATTACAGAGCAAATATTGTTTAAAAGCTCCAATTTAAAATTAAGAAATTTATGAAATAAACCTGGAGCTTTGGATCCATGAAAGAGTAGCGTTGCAATATTCTCAGCGAAAGCTCCGATTCCGGAGATGAAGTTTCTGTGTGCGGAGTGGACGCGACGGTGTCGTCGGAAGACGTGGAGGAGTTGTAAGTTACAGTTCGGAGAACGAGAAGACGGAGAGTAGTGCAGGGCCATGAAGAGGTTCGAAAGGTGTAAGCTTAAAGTTTGTTTACGTTTTTGGTATAGATTCGCGCACTCCATTTCTTTTTCTTCTTAATTTGGATCATTCTGTTTTTAAGTTAAAAGAAAAATTCCTCAGTTTTCAAAGTATTAATTCTCACAACTAAATTTTAAGCTTATTTTAAATTAGAGGGTTAAAGAAATTTTTGTTCTCTATGAATAAATCTCTCCTTTTATTTTTTATTTCTATAAAAAAATTCTAAGTAATTGTCAGGAGAAAATTTTATCTTTGAGTTAAAATAAGTTAATTATGGCAAAGTATCATGAGATCAAAAAAACTTTGGAAGAACTATTCTAAGTCATTCTTAAGTTTAAAGTTCGGGAGAATCTAATTCAAACTATCTCATAAATATCACTATTGTCACATCAACAAGTACGATTATTCTAAATCATAACGCATTTCACTATACAAGAAATTGGCTTGCGCATTAAAATACTAGTCTTACGGACTCATTCCGCACAGGAGCAATGTGCATATATAATTGTCACTGATTTGAAAATATGAGTGTAAGACACATACAATTGTGCAATCATTCATGGACATGCCATCAAGACCGCGAATATGAGTTCTACACCAGAACAACTATCAATTATGATTAATATGTAATGTTTAATTCATTCTAACAATGTGATGATCGACTTGTCTATGTATTTCAAAATTGTTATATTAAATGTCTCACACAGATTGTTAACATGTAATTCACATTGAGTGCTTCTTTTGAAATAAGATCTAATAAGCAGGTCTCTTGCATATGGCTTTACCTGCAGATATCCAATTCTATCTACCATAAAAAGTGGCAGAATATTGACATTTCCTTAAGGAAAACACTCAACTAATCAACCCACAAGTATGAGAAGATAAATATTTGCATCATCATAAGAGAAGGGCTCAAACTTGGATATAAAATCAACAAGCATGTCACTAACTCCTTCAAGTGGAAAAGAATCAATATTATTTCAACCAATACTATGGGGATAAAAAAATTATATCTCAACTATGAAGATGACTCATGTCTAATCTTTTTGAGGAAAGAGTTTTAAATTGAAAAGGCAAAGTGGCCAAATGATTTGGATGAGATTGAATATCTTTTAGTCTTTTGAAATTGTTTGATATGTTTAAATATATTGAAGCATTTATTAGATAAAGTTTGAAAATGCAATGACAAAGTCAAGGTTTTTTTAAAGAAAGAAGTTTCAAAGTTTGAAGACAATATTAGAGTTTAAGTGCACAAGGGTAAACCCAATGCAAACATTTACAAAAGTAACATACAAAGGTAAACACATGAAGATGAACATAAGACAAACACATGCACATGACTATTAAATCAACACTATAATCTCTTTCCTTGGATTTGAACACAAGTACTAACTGTTTACTGTGGAAAATGGTAAACAACCGCTGGTCCTCCCAGAGTCGTAAACTGATGGTAACTTGCGAGATCGACCAGTTGATCTCAAGACGCGTGCTAAGAGTTTTTTGCTATCACACATATTCTGTCGAAATATTAGTCAAGGGAAACGGTTTTCTTTTGAATGGAGAAACAGGTGTAATGGTTTTCCACACTATGATTTAATCGACTGACTGGTAACTCGTAACCGGCAGAAGATATTCATACAAAAAGCGAGACTCACTAAACTAACTGACTCGTGACTCGTGACCCACAGATAATGTCGAACTGTTTGTGTGAAATAGAAGATAACGTATAGATCTTACTCGACAGTAAAGAGAAAACAGATAAAGTACTCAAAAGATATAATTGAAAGATAAAAGATTTACATTGAAATAAAAATGGTGATTCACGTACATCAAGCACTCTTCACTCTTGATTTCCTGACGCTCGGAATGAGAGAGTTTGACAAGTGATTTGAGGGTACAAGTGAACACACACAAACTACACAAAATCTACCTATTTATAGTGTTTACAAAGTAACTACCTAGATAAAATCTACGGCTAATATTAACATCTTGAGGTAACTGCTTCACTAGATGCTGCCACCTATTTGACGCTTAAACACGTTGTGGGTTGCTGGTAACTGCCCACGATTCCTGTAAGCCTCTTGAACATAAACCGCTTATGCCTTGCTTCGACGCTCTCTTTCTGGCAAAGAATAATCACACTTCCTCTAAGTTCAAGAAACCCTTTTTTGTTGAATAAAACCATTTTCGACCAAGTCCTTGTCTTTTACCCTTTGGTCGACCGAACCAATTTTATCCTCCTGACATGTTATTTTATTTCTTCCTAGTCGACGTAGTTCAATTTCGACAGTTTCAGTGTGATCCCTTCCAAGCATTAACTCTAACTTAATAAAACCAGCTTTTCACACATTGGCTCATGTTTCCCAAAAATCCCTTATTTTAGAGGATGACTCCTAACTTATGAGAATATCTTCATTTATCACATGTACTTGAATTCCTTAAGATTTTCTAACATAATGAAATATAAACATTAATTGTTAATTCATAAATATTAAGATCATTAGCAAAACAAAGAGCATTAACACAGACTCTCAAAACGAAAGTATGGATTAAACATGTGTGGAAACCAGGACTAAACCCTAAGGATATTTATCATGCATATAAACCAATAATGATCACAAACTTAAGTCACAACCCTAAACGGGATTAAATATGGATCAAAGATATTCAAACACTCATGAGAGAAACATCAAGATGTTTTCAAGGATCAGGCAATTCAAAACCATAAAACCTCAATCATTAAGACAAAGAAACAAAGCATTTGAATCAAACATGGTCATGGTATTAAACATTATTTAATCATGGTGTAAACTTCAAAATAAAATCACACTCAAGTAAACACATTAAGGCATTGTGGCATCAAAAGAATCATTTAAGAAATTAATTCACAAATGTCTAGTAAAAGAAACGTCAAGGTTTAAACAAATTAAAAAAAAAAACTATTTTTGATTCTTTTTAATTAATTAAAATATTAAACAAACAAAAAAAAATCAAAGCTTGATTAAATAATTAAAATATTTTTGGTATTTTTGAATATTAATTTGATAAAAATAAAATCAGAAGAGAAAAATAAAATAAATAACAAACTAAAAATAAAAGAAAATGAAAAGAAAATAAATAGAAACAAAATAAAACGGAAACAAGTAATAAAAATTATAGATGAGGTCAAATAAAACAACCAAAAGGGTGTCACTGGGACTCGAACCCAAGACCCCTCGCTCACACACAATACACAAATACAAGTGCATTAACAACTGGGGTGCAACACCAATTCGTTCATATCACAGCTTTAACTAAATATAAAATAAACTTAACTTTTAAAATTGAATTCCGCACCCTGTACTTCATCTTCAACCTCTCGGCCTCAAATTTGTGATTTCTCATTTTGCACCAAATCAAAAATGCAAAAGAACAGTTTCACTAAAAAATTTGCAAGGATTTCAAATATGTCCATAACATTAATTGATTCTAACTATAACTCATGAATTTTCGCAAATACCAGAAAACCCTAATTGTTTCAAAATGAAATTAAATGGCATACATGAACAATAAATGTCAGTTGGCTTAGGAGTTTCACTCACCACATTGAAGGCTACATTTTTGCTTCAAAAATCATTCACAAATGATGCATGTGTGGTGAGTTCCAAGTCAAATTTTTTTACCTATTGGAGCAAGTTCTAATGCCCTTTTCAAGGTCTTTTAATGGTGCAAAACGATCCTCCTAGCTTCCTTGGAGTCCCAGGAACACAATGTTATCCTTAGTTTGTCTTGAAACCCTCTGAATCTTTCTGACCAACTCCACTTGCAGTGATGAATGAGCACTGGTTGTATGGAGTGATTTGGTAGTTTCAGTGATGAACTATTGCATACAGAAGTTCATATGTGTTGTATAGATAGTTAATATATGATTGGTTTGCAAGGAACTTGAGGGATATGAGAAATTAGAATAATTGATTTTGGAGCTTTAATGGAGTTTTTCAAAACCTTTTTTAAGTTTGTAAGTGTTTTCAGGTGTATGAAAGTGTCAATGTGTGTTAATGTGTGTGTTTTGCAATGATATGAGGTCCTCTATTTATAGGGAAAGTTGATGGAATGAGAGCTGAATAGATTTTAAGTTTTAAAGTTATGGTTTGGTTGAAATGCAAGTTGAAGTTCCATGATGTTCATGGTTCCAATGCATAGAATCTTGCTTTCTAGAGTGGTTGGAAGCTTTAGAGGATTTGGAAGCTTTAGAGGGATTTATTCTTAACTTTTGTGTTGATTGTGATTAGAGGGAACAAATGCAAAGTTCAATGTATTGACTTTGTGATTAAAGCAAGCTTTATCATAATGGAAGTGTGATCTTTATGTTCAAAATGGAATAAATCCTTGAAATCCTTAAACACTTGGATAATGCATCAATAATTTGTGTAAGCTCATATTTGGTTGAGTTTAGAAGAAATCAAAGACTTGTAGCAAATATCTCAAGTATTTGGTTGGGATTGGAATGCAACTTGACATGTTCTTGACCTCTACAATCAACTTTAACATGGCAACTTCTCCTCTTCGAAACTTGGTGCTCAAGCAAGATAAATTCATGCTCTTGATACCATTGGAAAGATGAGATTACATACTACAACATTCATGTTGAATACTTGGCTTGAATAAATTTGGATCAATAAGAAAACTAGCCAACAAAATTGGACTTTCAAGTTGAAAAACACTTAGAAAATTTCTAAGTATTTTGCATTTCAACAACTTTGAGATCTCAACTTTAACACTTCATATCTTCCAAATCTTATGAGATTATTAGTCAATTATTTACATAATGTTGAAGTATGTAGGACCATATTTAATTGCATCCATTGGTCATGAAAAATTATTGATTGGATTGGAAGTTATAAGCTTGAAAAGTCATGCACTTGAACATAAGTTTGTGGACTTAGAAATTTTTTCAATTTCTTCATCTTTGCCATTTTTGTAAGTTATCTCAATTTTTTTGATTTCACTTGATCAAATTCAACTATCAACCATATTTTCATGATATTTGTCTTGAGAGTTCCAT